CTCCACCAACAATGCATTAATGTTCCAATTTTCCCACATCTTCTCCAACATTTACATAATGAGGATTTTTAAGTGAGTGATTTAAAGCTTCCTCATAGTCCTGAAATAATTTGCTTATAAAATTATTTGAGGTAGATATAATACCCGTCATAGGAATAATCTCTCTCAGACTGTAGAAAGGAGCAGTGAATTTTGGGTTGCTGCATTTTCTGTCTAGCTAAGGGTCAACAGTTGTTATCACCCAGAATTATAAAACTGTTAATTATCTTGAATATGTCTTTATTTTATTTTTTTTTCGTGAATGTGTCTTTATAAAAGATAATAGACTTTGGCCTTTAAAATAGTGTATCTGGTGATGTGCAGAGAGGTCTGAGATCTCCCTGCCTTGCACATTGTCTTTGCTGATACAGATTGCGATCCATGCTGCCCACCCTGGTGACTCTTCAGCTCCTGAGTTTGCAGCAGAGGAGCATCCATTGTGCGTTCTCTGCATATTGTAAAGTGACTGTCTGCTGCTGGTCATCCTTCATCCTGGGCCACCCTGAACCCGGTTTCTTTTCCTGTTGTGCATTAACCTGACGATCTCTTTCTCATGCTTTTCTCTGAAGTTCTTCGTTGATCACCAGTTGCTGCTTGTATGACTAGGGCCTTCTTGATGATGATAATTTCCACTTCTTCAGACACACTTTTCAATATCTCATGGCCATACAATGATGTTGTTAGAATGTCGATGTCATTTCCTGAAGGCAGTTTTAGCCCGTTCCCTTCCTAAGGTTCAGTTCTGGGCCCTGCTCAATGTCCTTTTGTATGGCCTGTCTCAGATGCACAAACTGATGGGTGAATGAATGAATGAATGAATGAAAAAAAGTGTGGTAAGTGTTTACTGTGTGCAGAATACTTCAGAAGGAAATAAAAAATTAAGACAGGATGTGCTTTTAATGAGCTTATGTTCTAAACTGGGGATACGACACATAACAGGGGCCTTGGCTGCAAGACTGATTGAAGAGCCTGGTGATCCTCGGGTGCCACAGTATGCAGCGTGCCAAGATCCATAAGCCTGGGGGCACAGAGGGCATCATAGCTAGGTATAAGGTTAAGACCATTTCTCAATCCTAGATGGATCCTGGCACCTGTACTCGCATCTCCTTTCCTGTGGGAGGGAAACTGGAAGGGTTGGTGGGGAGGATAGTCAGCATCTATTGCAACAAGCACCACTGGGTAGCATCCTAATGAAAGTCTGAACAGGGTGGTGACTACTCACTGGCCTTCAGAAGGAAGGAGAAATACTTAGGGAATTCTTTAAATTCTCTGTACTGGCAGATCCTTTTTTTTTTTTTTTAAAGATTCAAAGTCTATTAACCCAGGAAATAAAGACCAACACCCATTCTGTGATTCATTCACCCAAAAGCCACAGAAGCGCCTTCTTTGCAACGATTTTAAAGACATTTAATGACAATATTTGTATGATCATATATGCTGTTATTTGCCTGATTGTATACTGTTTTGTGCCCCAAATATGGTTTCCTATAAATCCCAGATTTTGAAACTAGATAAATATGGGAAAACTTTGTCATAATAACAAAATAGTTTATCTTAGATTCAAATTGAAGTATCTTTCTTCATGTTTTTCATGAAACATACGGGCAGCCTGGATATCTTTCACTTGAATATCTGTTCTTTAAATACACATATATTTTGTGTGTATGTGAGAGATGGAGAGAGAGAAGTAAGAGTTTCTTGTGTTTCATTCTCCAGCTTTAATATTTTGGACATCTCTGGGCTTGAGGGAGTGCGTGTCCCAAGAAAACTCAGCTCAAATCATGAGGCATCTTGAACTGTGTTGATAACTTAAACTCAACATGTCCAAAAATGGAAGCATTATCTTCCCTTCGGAACGCCATTACTGCTGAGGCATCTCTATCTGCTGGTCTTCCAGGCTCCGAGGAGGCATTCTGCACTCCTTACTCTTGTCCTTCATCTCCAGTGGTCTCTCTGTCATCTTCGGAACCTCTGTCCAGTACTCCCCCTTCTCTCTTCTGATGCTGCCCTTACTTTGGTGAAGGCCCTCCCCACCTCAGGCCTGGACCATTGTGGTAGCTGCCGGAGGAGGGGGGGGGTGCAGAATGCCTGCCCCAAAGTCTCTGCCTACTCTGGTTCAGTCTGGTTCTCCTAAAGCCCAGGTCTGACCATGTCATACCCCCAACTCAGTAAATTCCAGTGGCTCCCTGTTGCCTGCAGGAGCAAATACAAAGCGCTCTGTTTGGCCTTCAAAGCCCTCAACACCAGCCCCCCTCCTGCTTTTTCCTGTTTTCTTCCCCCTCATTCTCTTTCCCCTCTCCACCTCGAGGCCGTTCATACTGGCCTCCTTGTTGCTTCTCATAAGAGACTGCATCTCCTGACCCTGGACATTTTCTGTCCGTCCCTCATGCCTGGAATTCTCTCCTTTCTTATCTCTGTCCTCAACTTCCTTGGCTTCCTTCAGTACTCAGCCAAAGTCCCACCTGATGCAAGAAGAATATCCGATTCTCCTTCATGTTAGTGCCTCCCCTCCATTCATTGTCCGTAGTTCATTCTGTCTGTACCACATTTGTACTGCTGTTTGCATGTTGTTTCCCTCCATCAGCCTGAGCTTGAGCACAGTGACTCTCTCTCCATCACTTCGCATGTAGTGGGCATGTGTAAATGCTACTTGATTGAGGAAATTAAAACCAAACCTACTGTCGTATCTGTTTTTACCTGTCATAAAAGAACAATTTAAACAACAAGTGGTTGCAGAGAAGAGAGTATTCTGCATGTGTTTAGCCGCTGGATTTCATGCACACAAACATGTTTTTGGGCATAAACAGACCTTCCTGGATAACTCGTTACCTACCATATGCCACGTACTGTGCCGAGCACTTTATAAACATTCCATTTGATTCTCATGACCTTGGAAGGGGGTGGTGGTAGTGCTGTTATACCCATTTTACAGTTAACGCAGACAGGTGAAGTGACTTGCCCAGGGCCACACAGCTAGAAAGTATTTGAGGCTGGATTTGAACTCAGGTCTTCCTGTGTTTAGAACCCCCAGCTGCCTGTTTATGTATTTTTAGCTTTCATGAAATGAGAGGAAATACTGGAGGGTGATCTAGATGCTGTGCCTGAGAGATGATTGAAATGCATGATCTGCTGCCATCGACAGCATTAGCCAGATGGCTCAGAACTGATGGGGCGGGGGGGGGGGAGGGTTGGGAGGACATGGTGTGGAGGCATGTGAACCTGAAGCTCTTTTCTGCTAACTGAGGCTCACAGACTTAGGAGTCTTATCTGACAACCTATTATCAGGATTGGATTTTTATTGTCAAAAGGTGTTCCTGCTTATAGGTGGGTGCACTGCCTGGATTTAACCTCACCCCTACCCCCATACATCTCTTCCTCATTTTAATAAGTTCTTTTTCCTTGATTATAATTATGAGAGTTTACTGGAAATTAATGCATTTACTACTTGGCAGTAGGCACAGAGGTACATTGGTTTTTCTTCCACATGTGGTTAAGGTGGTTGTTTAATGTGAATATTAGAGCATACTGATGCCAGAAATTTGGTCTAAGCTGATATTTTTCTCCACAGATCCTTAGATAAAAATAGCTAAGATAGTTGTAAATACATTTCAAAAGTCGGTTTTAACCAATGGCAGTGCTGTTTTCCAGCCTTACTCACACTAACCAGTCTTCAACACTTAGACTATTCTTATTTTTTTTTAAAGTTATTTTTAGAACTAGAAAAAATCTGCTTTCTCTTCCTCTTACACCCTGACCGCCACCCCAGTTATTTTATTTATATATCTGTCTCAGTTTGCACTGAGTCCATCATCTGTCTGCCCGGAACTGGGCAGGATATTTCAGCATGAGTCCTCCAAATGTTGTGTAAAAAAAGTATCTCAAAGTAGTGAGTCTTTACAGTATATTGTTGTAGTCTTATAAATTGTTCTTCTAGTTCTGCTCATTTCCCTTCACATCAGTTCATACAAGTCTTCCCAGGCTTCTCTGAAAACCATCTCCATCATTTCTTAGTAACATTCCATCACATTCATATACTGTAATTTGTTTAGCCATTCTCAGTTTGATGGGACACCCAATCAGTTTCCAATTCTTTGCCACCACAGAAAGATTTGCTGTAGTTTTACACGTGAGTCCTTTTCTTCTTTCTCTTTGGGGGTATGGACCAGCATGGATGGATATCTCTAGATCAGAGGGTATGCATAATTTAATAACTTCTGGGTCTTAGTTGCTTCCCAGAATTGCTGGGCCAGTTTATGGCTTTGCCAACAGTGCATTAATGTACCTTTTTTGGGTCAAGTTTGCCAATCTGATGGGTGTAAGGCAGATCCTCAGAATTGTTCTAATGTTCATTTCTTTTAATTATTAGTGATTTAGAGCATTTTTTCATATGGCTATTTACTTGGTGATTACCTCTCCCAAAAATGAAATGAAGAAATCATTTGACTATTTATAAATTAGGGAATGCCTCTTACTCCTATCAATTCGAATCCATTCCTTACATCTTAGAAGAGAGACCTTTATCAGAGAAACTTGCTGCAAAGATTCATTTTACCAGATTACTTGCTTCTCTTCTAATTTTTGCTGCATTGGTTGTGTTTGTGCAAAATCTGTTAATTTCATGTCATCAGAATTGTCCATTTGAACCTTCTGTGTTCCTCTCGGTCTTCTGTTTGATCGTGAACTCCTCCCATACACATAGATCTAACATAAACTCCTTCCTTGGTATCTGACTTGTGGATGATGTTAGCCTTTATATCTAAATAGTTACTAAAGTTTAAAGTAATTCTTACAGAATTGACCTTCAAGCTCATGTTCACATGAAACCCTTACCAAAAGATAATAAAAATACTTAGTTTTCCTTCAAATATAGTCTAATTTCCTTTGGATTCTGGCATAGTTGAGTTAAATTACCTGTTTTCAGACACATGGGAATAAATGCTGTGGAATTCTGTTTTATGCAGGATGATGATGAGAATGCCCTGACTGCTGCAGAACCTCCAAGCCAGCCTTTACATGCTCACGGGACGGGCTTTTGCTTTGATTCCAGGTAATCTTAACCTTTTCCATGTAGAATTGATGCTTTCTATATAGTTTCAGAAATTCTTAGTTATTCAGTAGGGTAGATGATATGGGGAATTTCAGCTTGCTTTCATCCTTATGGATGATTACAAAAGGCTTTTTCTTTGAAATTGAGAAACAGTTGGAATCACGTGCTTCATTTTACTTATTATAAGGAACCATTTTGGGAGCTCAGACAACAAAAAATGCAAAAGACCAAGGGTTGAGCTTTTGGGAATGGTTCCCCTTGCTGATTCCCTGTCTTGGGGAGCCGGGAACGTGGCCCCCTGGAACCGCGGGAGGTGTCTGGGTCTGTGAAGAGCAGTGAAGTCACTGATGACATGAGGGAGGGGATTGGCAGTGGGGGCCCCTGGTGTCTGTTCTGGAGTGACCTACGGTTTTCTGAGAAGCAGTGCTTAGCATGGTAGCACGCATGCATTTATGTATCAGAAACATGTAATGATTTCATGTCCCTGTCTCTTCAAGCTTTGATGTTCACAAGAAGTGTCCCCTCTGTGAATTAATGTTCCCTCCCAACTACGATCAGAGCAAGTTTGAAGAGCATGTCGAAAGCCACTGGAAGGTGTGCCCCATGTGCAGTGAGCAGTTCCCTCCCGACTATGACCAGCAGGGCTTTGAAAGGCATGTTCAGACCCATTTTGATCAGAATGTTTTAAATTTTGACTAGAATGTCACTTTTTATTATGCATTATTCCAGTTTACCATTCAAAAAAAGATCACATCCAATAGCTAAACCATATCCGATAAAGTATCTACTGCAGTTTTCTGACTACTTACATTATATGTTACCTGTGTACAATGCAGTAGAATTAGGGTCAGGATCAATATCTGGCTTATCAGCAGATAGCAATTTAACCTGTTTCTCTCACCTGCTTTAAGAAAAGAAAGAAGTTCTTTGTGTGTATGTATCTTTATTTATTCCCCGATTGTGAACACTGTATCATTAAAGGATACAGGGATTATTTTAATGTGACAACAGAAAAAATTATATGGTGGTGGGTGACTTAGCCAACTGATAACAAGCTTCTATCAAATAGGTGATTGAGCATGACTAAATATTATGTAATAAAAAGTATTTCTGATAGCAGTCTTGTGGAGTAATTCCTTGGGTAACTTTCAGAAGATGTTATAATTTATTCTGTGAACATATAGTTTTTTAATCCTCTTTAGTAAAGAAGTTTAGATGCATGTATGATGAGATTACCTGCTTGCAACATAGCAAATACCTCTTGTACATGTGAAATGTTTGCCTTAGGAATTAATCTAAGAAAGCACATTTTGCTTTAATCCAGTATTTTTATGAATTAAAAATATTATAATTAGGTTTATCTGGATGATTATTTTTAAATCAGCTTACGGTTGTATTTATAGCTAATGGAAAAGTGGTCTTGGCAGAGCTCCATGGTGCAAGTGAAGAAACCTCTGCACCAAGCTCTCTGCTCAAGGCCCTGGGCTTCTTGGCCCACGCTGGCAGGGGGTGGTTTTGTGCATTTTGCACAGTTTTCCTGTAGAGCATAATTTTAAGAATTAAGTTTCTAATTAAGCAATTAAAAATGTGACAGACACACCAAAATCAAGGTCATGTGTTTCTTTAGTTAAAATTTGTTTCTGACTGTATAGTGCTCATTACATTAAAGTTAAACCCATATTGGAGCTCTGGGGCTGTTTTATTTCATTATTATCCAATTAATTTGTAATAGTATATTTAGGAGTTCTTCACTGGGGTTCATGGATCCCTATGACTGTAGGAGATCAGTGAGTTTGGTTTTTTTTGTTTTTTTATATTTTGATTAATTTTTTTTCCACTATAAGCAGTTTCTTTTGTGGTATTGTGTGCTTTCTTTTATATGTTTGGAAACATTCAGGGCAAAGGTTTCCCTAGTCTCCGCCGCCACTGGGACTCTTCCTCTTCTCTTTCGGCTCAGTCCTCCTCTAAATTAGTAAATTAGCACCACTTCTGCTGTTAGGCTGAAAGCCTGGAAATTCCAACGGTGCTGTTTCAGTGGTTTCACGATTTCATTATTTATTAGCACTTAAGCAGATTGTTTAAACTTGCCCTGAATTTAGTCATCATTTAAATGATTGGTCAGACTCGGCTTGGTTATAAGGGTGCTTTCCAAGTCGTTTTGCATTATGGCCTGTGTACATTTTCACACTTGGATTACTGTTTGGACAAGTTTGGACTTCTGAAAACTTAGGGGTCTGGGGTCTGAGGGGTCCTCCTAAGTTCTGAGCCACATAGAGAGGGGAGAGACGCTCCCTCAAAGGGTCCTGTCTCCCACCCCTCGATACCTCAGGCTGTAGATGAGGGGGGAGAGTTTCCTCATTCCTACTTCCCTACATAGATGAAACCACAGACTGCTACTAAAAATAGAATCCTAAATTGAGTTGGAAGGAATTTTAGGCATCACCTCGAGTTCAGCTGTTTCATTTGGGAGATGAGTAACAGGCCCAGAGGTGCCATTAGGCCCAGAGTTAGAGGAAATCTTCCCAAGACCCACCCAAGAAGGACTTCCTGACTCTCTGCACAAGCTGGCTTAGGGGCCCCTCTTTGGAGCCTTGTCGATGGGTGACTAGACCAGGGTGGGGAGGGAGGACCTTTGGTTCTCACAAGAAGCAGAATGTCCTCCCCCATCACCAACGTCAGTGTGTGTGTATAATGTGTGTCCATCAGGGATCGTGTATGCACACATTATCGGGGCCCACTCCTTAGAAAATGTGTAAATGCCTCACGTGGAATTTTTTTCAAATCAAGGGTCACACGGTTTTCACCGTGCCACATGCAGTCTGTGTCAAAACAGGACGTCTGGTCTTCTTGTCCCTCCTGAATTTTTTAACCTTGCTTTGATCCAGAGGGTTTGGTCCAACATTTCAGGTAGAGGGGCCACAACGTGGCTTTGTTTTCAAGTGAAGTAACTGAAAGGAATCAAACAGGATGTGACCAAGCAATGCTGGGCGATCAGACGTCAGTCCAGGTGAGACGAGAGTCAAGGAAGGGCGGTTCTTGCTTTGGGTCAGAGGCAGTTTATTTTAAATGTGATTTGATTTACATTTGTAAGCAGCTTTCTCAACAGGAATTCTATATCAATACATCACCTTCAATCCAAACAAACCTCTGTCACTTTCAAACTTAATGTTCTTTCCCCCCAACAAAACATATGAAAATATAATTTAAAGCACACTTTTCACAGACACAGTACAATACATTCACTATACACGGTGTAACAAAATAGTCCCGTCCTTACCTGTTTAGTAATACTGTCACAAGGAATAGGTAATTAGAAGCTGGAATTGATTTCGTAGCTGAAAGGAAGTCCCATGCATGATGATTTTATTTTATGACTGTTTAGCTGCTGAGCTAACTGATGCAGCCTGCAGACCCTGGCCCTGGAAGGAGCACGGCCTGGTTGGCTGCCCGGAGCCCGGGGGGCCCCTGCCAGGCCCCACCTCGGCGCTTCTTCAGTCTGGATGGTCTTTGAAACCTAAATGGTAGCACTGTGTGTTCAGAATCACGTGCCTTTAGAGATCTGAGGGAAGTGTGAGAGGGCGTTCTCTTTATAAACACTTAAAAACCCCTCATTAGGAAGGATCCAGGGCTGATGAAAGTAGATGTTTACACATCTGGCTAACAGATAATTGTCATCCTTTCAAAGTTTAGTTAAGTGTCCTGAAAAAAAAAAAAAGGGCCACCTGCTTCCCAGCTGTGTCGAAGACCTTTCATCACATGTGCACAGGCCACAGGGGGAGAGCGCTGTCACAAGCAGCCCCAGCTTGCTTTTTACCAATTTGTTTTGTGGGAAGTCGGCCGTCTCGGAGCAATTTTTATTGCATAATTAGGCAACTGGTAAACTCATGTTTCAAGAATAGCACTTGGGAGAAAAGAACCCTCCAGGCGTGATGGTCCCGTTGCTGAGGAAAAGCTCAGGAATGGTCCCGATCGAAGGGACTGCTACATGGGCCACCTCGGTCACCCTTCTCTTTGACCACCTGTTGCCAGAAGCACTTCATGTCAGTAAGGCTCAACGTCTTATTTCGGCAAAGTGAATTCTAAAGCTAAACAGAGTTCCGATTGGAATGCAGACACCTAGAGTGTGAGGCCAAACGTCTCCCTCCCCAAAGTCTCCCAAATACCAGCCTGGAGGGTCTCCCCTTGAAACATGTTAGAGCTTTCATCTCGATTCGCTGCCACAGGCACGATGGGGCAGGAGCTGCAAGAATTGGCAACACATCAAACATGAGATCTGTTGGCAATAGAGAACTGCAAAGTGCTTGAAGGCTTCGTCTGAAGAGGAAGGGAGCAGAGTTTCACACACACAGGCTGCACTCTTAAGTATTTCAGAGTGTTTCCAAACAGATTTTAGGGGAAATATTTCATTGGATCTTGGTCCTCAAACATCTGATGGGCACGAATCGAGCATCCAGCACCATGCCTTGACTTGGTAGGCACTCGATGGGTGGGTGGATGGATGGGTGGATGAAGGAATGGAATATACCTCATAAAAAGTCATTTCTAACATTAAAAGGATTGTTTGCTCAGTCACATGGCAAGATCTTCAGCATTTCAAAGGGGAAAAAAGATTTGCAAGAAAATAGAAAAACACAGAAAGCACACCTCTATGTATGTTATTTAAGTATGAAAATATTTTTAGCATATTATGTTAAACATTCTTTCTTATTTATATTTCCAATACCTAACGACTGGCTAGCCACGGGTCCGAGCTCCCCTAGGTAAGGCATGTGAACCAGCATGATGACGGTGGTGGGGTTTTGGTTTTGCACACGTGAGTTGACGTGTTGAGAAACTTCAATCACGTTACAATCTTGAATTATCTCAGTGCCAGGCTTCCCCCCGAGTTGGTAACACTGCAATACGATTAAACCTGTTTGCCACATGCCCTCATTTTTATTTCGTTTTGGGGAAATGTTCTGAAGAGCCTAGAGCTTTTGTCTGTTTTAGCACCTTATATCAAAGTAATGAAGATGGTGGGTATGGTTGATTACATGTGCAAATGTACAAAATCATTAACTCTACAAAGATAACATTCCAAAATTACAGAAAAAATGTAAAGCATGCATTTAACTCTTCTTTTAAAGGGTTGCTGAAAGCTTCCCGTGACAAAGGCGGCTGTTTTCAAAAATCAGCAACTGCTGGTGAGGATTTCTTGGCACAGTTAGGACCAGCGGGTTATTGCTGCATCTTCCTGATAATCTCCGCAGACACTGGGGGGTGGAAATTGATTGTGTGGTGCCGCAGGCCCTGAGCGGTCTTGTAACTCTTCCCGCAACGGCATTTGAATGGCTTACGGACACGGATCTGTGTTCTGTGGCCGTTCTTGGCATGGTACTTGATGCCATTGACGTTCTGCAAAGGAGAGAGAAACGATCAGTCTTTCTGAGGACGCGTATGGAGGGTACTCTGGGCCTGCTGTCCGGGACCTGCGGGTAGACGGGCTCTAGGGTGGGGTGTCCCTCTGACGCGGCCTGTGGGGGGATCGTACACGCTTGGGATCTGGCGGGAACGTTTGTTAGAGATTATTTAGTCCAGCCCCGTCATTTTGCCAACGAGCTGATTTCCCAAGATGCTTGTGAGCTACGCCAGTAAAAATCAGAATCCAACTTCCAAACCCTGGTCTTTCTACTTGAGACAGCCTGATGTGTTAAGTGGGAAGAGCCCTGGATTTGGACTCGGTTGTACCACCTTAGGACAAGTGACTTCACCTCTCTGTTGGATCAGGTGATCAGTAACCCCCTTCCCGGTTCCAAGTTGCAGGATCCTAGGACTCTTAACTCTCATGCTGCTTAGGGTCATTATTCAGCCGCGTTATGTGTTAAGTACAACTTGGTGTGATACCACAAGGACATAACCATCAGTTATATTTGTCTGAGTTCTGTGCTTGAAAGATCAATGTTACAAGGCTCGGCATCCCCCAGGGTGGCCCACTTTTCTCATGGTCTTCAAAACAACACAAGATCTGAACAGTTTTGTTCCCCAGTTCCTACCTTGGAATAATTTAATTGCTCTTTACAAAAGTTAGCTATTAGTGCAGAGACTGCAAACAGTGAGTGGAAATGGGACGCCTCTCCATCCCATGACCAAGAACTGAGAACGAAACTTTTTAGTCCCAAAAGAGCTGTTTCTCCACCGTTGTGTAATTAAACATCCCTGGGCCCCCCAAAGGGGCAATGCCCTGATAGAGGATTGATTGGCTAGCATGTCCTCCGCATTGGAAGATTATTCTAAGAGGGAAGATTTGAGGTGGCCACTTTCCGCTCTGGTTTATGTATCGCATTTTGAATGAAGTAGTAGAAGGAGATTTTGGGGAGGTGGGGGACTGAGTGTGGAGTATTTCTTACAGTGTACTGCCAACGTTAATTCTGCTGAACTGCTCGGGTCACAAAGGTTGGCTCCCTTATTGGGAGGGGGAGGGAGACATTCCAAAATGAAGGTGATGGATAAAGAAAAGAGCAATAAAATTCATAAACGACATGTTTCTGGTGGTCACTTTCTTGCCTGGAGTCACTCTCTGGGCATAGGGATTAATTTGTTAACTAAGAGGCAGATATTTTTCTCGTCCTTTCCATTCCCACAACTTGCTCGCCTACTCCAACCCTCAGACATTTAAAAGCCCAACATTCCTTCTACAGCATTTTTATTTCAACAAACAGCAAGAGAGATTTCAGTGTTTCCACCTAATTCCCCATGACATGCACTTGAGGATCACCGAGGGAAGAGGCATCACAGATAGGGTTGTGTCTCCAACAGTGATGTCTTTACCCCAAAACCGTCACTAAGCTCTTTTCCCCACTTACTAACCAGTGTCAGCTGAAATAGAGTTAACGCTTATTCCAGCAAAAAAAAAATCTCAATGGAAATTTGTAACCAACTATATTCCCAAGGTAAAACAATACCTATTCACTCACATACTAATTAAAGATTTTAAGTTAAAAATGCATCTAAACTTTACAAAAAGTCATGAAACGGAGGCAGTTCCTTCTGCCAGCTGAGTGTAGATCCCCCAACTCATACTGGACGGAGAAAGGGAGAATCCCTGCCCTGTTCTACCCAGAGCTGTGAGGGGCATCCTCAGAAATACCCATGTGGTGGGGACTGTTCCCTCCATCTTCTGGGTGCTAACACTATTGCCAATAAGGCTTTAGAGTTTACAAAGGGCAGAGTATTTAAAGGGGAAAGAGGAAGTGGATGTACTGAGTACAGACAGCTTTCTAGCCAAGATGGTTTTAGCCAAAAAGAGGAGGAAAGATGGGACAACACTAGAATTGGGGGTTTTGGGGGGCAAAGAAAAGGAGAAATGTGGGTATGTTTGTAAGCAGCAGAGAACAATCCATTAAGTAGGCAGAGACTGGAGATGAGTGGGGATGGCAGAATAGGCTACCACAGCTGTGAAAGAAGGGTTTCCCCCCTTGAGGTGGAGAGAGGATCTGTGTTCAGGCCCAGGCTGGAGGAGATGTCCTCCCAATTCTGAGATTTGGTGATAAAATCGTCTGGTGACCAGAGACGGATTACAAGACTTCATAGGCTCAAATTACTCCAGCCTTCAGTCCATCCAGCTTCTATTTATTCACTCATTCATCCATCCAACAGACACTTACCAAGTGCCTTCACAGGGCCCCTTTCAGGGAAGGAGAGTTAGAAAACATCCCTCGTCTTTGTTTTCAAACGGTGCTGCTGGCTTTGGGATGGGTCATTAAAGAGTCCAGTCACACCTCAGGGGCCCACACCACTCACACCTTGATGAAAAATAGGACTAAAAATAAAGACAAACCGATGGCGCATTCCTCGGGATCCACACCACAGAAATTCATCTCAATTGGTGCTTTTACTCCTAATTAGGTTAGGGAAGAGTTGGAACCAGAAATTTCTTAAGCCACAAGAATCCAGTGAAAGCCATGTGAAAACCAAGCCCCTTCTGCCCCAGAGCCCTCAGAGGAGTGGTGGTGGTGGGCTCTTCACCCCCTTTTAACGGTTAATGTAAACAGTCATTGCGTGTCTGGTGTAAGCTTGCTGAGTTTGGAAGGAAAACGCAGCCAAACCCGTATATCAGCTTTACTGGAAAAGTTAGCCTGACAGTTCTATCCTCTGAAACACGCTCCCTTGTCCTAAGGTCGATTTATAGGGACAGAAGGGTTTTAAAGCTCGTAGCAACCCTAGGGATCCATCTATCGTCTGCTCCTCTATCCCCCAACCCTATTTTGCGGATGAGAAGAAAGTCCAGGAGAAGAGAAATGACTTGGACAAAGTCACACAGGGCCTGTGATCCTCTTTTTCCCCAAATCTGGTTCTGATCTCCTTGCAGACCTTTTCTTCTCTCCTCACTCCCCCCAACCCCCAATCAAGTAATTTATTTTGCTTCCCTGCTTTCTCTTTGCAAGCTAAACTGTCATTAAAGTAAACTCCAACTGCGTTGTATATAACAACTTTGGGGGCCCCATTATCACCATTTTGAAAACACTGAGGAGGAATAGCTTTACACAGTATTTCAGGGAGAAGATACTTCCCCTGAAAGGGATGATATTAATACACCCAAAAGGAGCTGAGACTGTCAGGAATTAATGACCAATATGCCTGCTTTCACATCTTTACAAAATCTTTATGGAAATGCTCAATATGTCTACTGAGTATGAGTAGCTAAATACTAAAAGCTGCATTTTCTCAGTAAAAATATGAGAAGGGAACTTCCAGGTTTGGACAGAGGTACGTGTTCAATGATCTTCTAATCACGTAGGCCAGTGGAGATGTACGTTTCATGGGGGTATCTTGTGAAAGGTCCCAATGGAAGGGATTTTTTCTGGGTGTTCCTGTATATACAGATGATACCGTATTGACTCCATTATCTCCCATCTCATTATGGGGCTTCCTCAATGAGATCAATGATAATACATGGCCTATTAATCCATACAGGGAACATTGAATGAATTTTGTTTTTCGGTTATTTCAGTCATATTTGAATATTTGTGACCCCTTTCAGGGTTATCTTGGCAAAGATACTAGAGTGGTTTGTCATTTCCTTCTGCAGCTCATTAGACAGATGAGGAAACTGAGGCAAACAGGGTGAAGTGACTTGCTCAGAGACACACAGCTGCTAAGTGTCTGTGATTGGATTTGAGCTCAGGAAAATGATTTTTTCTGACTCCAGGCCCAAAGCTGTGTGCATTATGACACTACGTAGTTGCTCTCATTAAACGAATGGAAACTGTTTATTGTCCTGTGACATGTAGTTAGATAAATATAGAGGTTTCTAACATTGGTTAGAAACATCAGTCTCACAGGTGAGGCATAACTCGGTGACATACTTTCTGAAAAAAAGATCCTGGGGTCTTGGTGGGTTGCTAACTGGATATGAGTCTATAGCCAACAACTTTGGTTACAAAGACAAGCATCTGGCCTGGGACTAGAGAATGGACAGTTCCACTGTCTTCTACCCTGGTCGGGTCCCACCTGGAGTCTTTTGTCCACTTCTGGACAATGAATCTGGGGAAGGACATGGATAAGCTGGTGAGTGGACAGAGGAGGGCATCTGGTCCAGTGACGCGTCTCATGTTGTGTGAGGATCACCTGAAGAAGAGGGGGTTGTTCAGGTTGAAAAGGAGGATTTGGGGGGACATTATCAGCCTCTCCACTCATATGAAGGGTTGATGGAAGAGAGATGAGCGTTCCCCGTGGAGGCCAAGTGGCCAAGAGGCAGATTCTTTGGCATTTAAACCAGCTTGACCCCTCCCTGTATTTCCAGTTTTAATGCTCCTCCCCTGGGTGAACTGCCTCACCCGACTCCCTGTGGTCTTCCTGGCCTGGGACACTCCTTCCTGGTCTCCATCTCTGGATCTCTGGCCTTCCTTATGACCCAGCACCTCCAGGCCTTTCCAGGTCTCTCCCTGCTGCTGAAGCCTTCCCCTCCATGCTAGCTTCCACCTACCCTCGGTGTGTCCTGGATGGGCTGACTGACATGGGTGGGATCTCCTAACAGAATGGAGACTCCTGGAGGGCAGGGACTCTGCACACCTGGTGCCTGGCACAGCGTAATTCCCTGCACGCTTGTTGACGGACGTGCTGAAGAGTTATCTGCAGGCCTAGGGAGGGAGTGGCTCTTCCCCACGGAGCCTAGACAGACGTCTGATGGCTGTTGTAGTGAGCGTATCTGCCCACTGTGCGCTGGGTCCCCGGCGTCCGCGGCCCTGTCCGGCCCCATCCTGTGCACATGTGATTCTCTGGGCAGCCCGCTGAGCCAGTACATCAGAGGCATAGCCAGGAGAAAGAGCCTGTTCTGGATGGCATTCGGGGACGCCATCCAGACGGTCTCATGAGAGCGCTGCTCCTCTGTCCCAAGGCCCTGTGGTACAAGGTGCACAGTCCCTAGCTGCCAACCTGTGCCATTAAAACCGCAGGTGATAGAGCTCCAGCCCTGGAGTCAGGAGAACCTGAGTTCAAACTTGGCCTCAGACACTTGACACTTACCAGCTGTGTGACCCTGGGCAAGTCACTTAACCCCACTGCTTAGCAAAACAAAACGAAACAAACAAAAAAACCCCCCTCAGGTGATCCAAAGGGTAAAGGAGAAGGCCTGGTGGGCATCAGCTGGCTGTTGCATATTCCCAGGAGACCTGGGTTCAAATGTGACCTCTGCTGCTGAACTGTGACCTTGGGCAAGTCACTGCCCTTCCCTTATTCCTCTAGTTTCCACGTGTAAATCTCACCACTAAATCTTCAGTTATGATGTCCAGTCCATGGCCCCGAGTGAGGGGGTGCAATAATCCCTGATGGCCTCAGGCGTCCGGGGTCAGTATCCAAAGAGTGGTGAGGCTGATCCCCCTGAAGGACGATGTTCCTCTTCCTTGATCAGCAGTCTCAGAGCCCTGGTGAGCGCTCCTAGACGTGTATCATGTGGTGAACCCAGCTGCGTGAATAACACTGATTAGGCACTAACTGTATGCACAGCGCTGGGAGAGTCTTGCACCCTAATGGGGAAGGGGAAGGTTTCAGCTGCGGTCAGATGCATGGATCCTGAAGTCCTTAGGGGCAGCGGTCAAATCCGTGGTAATGCCTTTCCCCAATAAAATCATGAGTTTCTGATACTGAGCCACCAGGCAGGGCCAAAGACTGGGGTGACCACAATAGTAGCTGCGGCGGACGTCCCTGCAGGGGTGGCCGAGCTACATCTCTAGGGCGCTGCCTTCCCACCCTGACGGCTGCAGGCGCTGGGTTGCAGCGTCACAAGCCCAAGGCTCTAGGTCTCAGGGTCCAGGCTCCTGGGCTGGCTCCATGAGGGTCTGAGGACGGTGGTCGAGGTGGTGGAAGCGGTCCGGTCTGGCTGGCCCATGCTGCTCCTGTCTCTGTCCGTCTACCTGGCTGCTTCAGCCAGCCTGTCTTCCCTGTCCTGTGGGGGACAACGGAGTGCAGCTGGTGGGGACGACCGGTCCCTCCTTCATCAGAGCTGCCTCTCTGAATGATGCCTGAGGAGGGCTGGCAGGGGAGCAGGACTGGGCATCTGAGACGTGCTGTCCCTCCCCAGGCTCTTATGCCTGTGCTGACAGAAGCTGGTCAGCAGCCGTCGCTGGTGGTGGGCTGGAGTTGAAAGCCCAAATTTCTGGACGGCCAATAGATCTACTTGTCCTCAATTCAATACTGTAAAAGACCTGAGACTTCAGAGGTGTAGATACGCCCTCCCCCAAGCCAGAGAACAGCCCCTCCCCCCACATCTTAGTGGACAGTGTCATAGACTGGGGCTAAAAATGTTCAACCCAGACTCCTGGAGCTGGGACGGGCTCCCGAGGCCCAGAGCAGTCCTGTAAAAGGGGGACGATACTCAAACCCTTAGCCTCACGGGGGACGGCAGGAACCAATGAGACCAGACACGTGAAGGTGGCTAGTCTGGACACCCTCTGCTTTTTTTCCACTCCCCTTTTCCCTCAATCCTTCTGAATTTACTTTAGAAATAAGTGTAGCCAAGCCTCCTCCCCCATGTGTCAGATCCTGAACCTCAAAGGCAAACCCCCAAGGCTTTCCAGGTGCTCACCGCCTCTCCCCTGGGACCCCCCCAGTGACCTGCTTGCTCTTCCCTGCTGCCATCCCCCGCTCCAGGCTGCCTTCCAGGCGGCTGCCCGTATGATATTCCTAAGCCAGGGCTGACCACGCCACCCCCTGCTCAAGAAGGGGCAGTGGCTTTCTATTGTCTCTAGGATAAAATACACGGACTTCTCTCTCTGGCAGAGAAAGCTGGAGCCCGGACTCAGACAGCCCTGTGACCCTGGACATGTCACTTAACCATTGTCTGCCTCAGTTTCCTACCTCCTGGGCCTCCTGGGAGGCTCTCTCCCTCCCCCAACCCTCCATTACCCATTTGCTTCCCTGTGTGACTGTCCTGGCCCCGATGACAAATGATGCTTGTTGGGCCAAGGCCCGGCCTGGGAGGACCAGGGAGGACCAGCGTGCTTCCTGGGCAATAATGAGAGTATAGGGGCTGGCAGTGAAACAGGACAGAAAGAATGCACCAAATTACAGGTTTCTCCTATAAATAAGCCTTTTTCACTTTAAAAAAAAGAGTGTTTTTGAAATGCCACATTTCCCTGGAAGGGAGAGGAAGAGAGCAGGAACCTGCAACACTCAGCAGCCTCTTCCTTCACCCTTCAATGCCTGTGGCCTCCAGGAAGACCTCTCGTTGGCTCAGCTGTCCTTCCACATGGCCAGGAAGAATTCCTTCCGCAGCGGGGCCTGGTGGAAGCGGACTCTGACAGCGTGGGATTGAATCTTGGCGCTCACGTTTCCTACCTGGGCCTGGGCCTTCCCATGCCTGGCCTCAGTGCCCTTCTCTGTGAAATGAAGGGGTGGACTCGCTGGGGTCTGAGGGCCCTTCCACGTCCATGTCCTGAATCCTAGGTCGAGGGTTTCATCTAAGCCTCCACCGGCCAGAACAGGGCAGCAAAGAGAACGTACCCCTCACTCCCCTTTGCTGTCACTTCACCCATAGATCTGGGCTCTATGTTTTTATATCTTGAGCAGCGCTATCAAGTCCTGGAGGGGGTTTCCTGGCCTTCTGAAGAGCAGGCACCCCACAAGGAGGGTCTGCCTGGGCGCCTCTCTCAGGCCTGGGTCTCCATGACCTGGATTAGCAAACCCGCCCACACGCCAGGTAGATTTCTGGGTTTCATATTTCCGTTATGCACTTCCACAGCTGGTTTTAAAGAGTTGCTAAAACATCATGGAAAACTTCGCAAGTTTGTTTTTGGAGACGCTTCTGGTGAGCAGAGAGCTCTGGGCCCTCAGCCACTCACAGAGATAAAATATGCTGGTGATGGCGGGCTGGGCCTACACTGGAGGGGGGGTGGGGAGGATCGTGAAACCGTGGGAAGAGAAGAGCCATGACCCTCCTCTGCTTCGTACGGGGGCCAAGGGGAGACCCCAGGGAGGGGGGGGGAGAAAACATGCCCAGCTAGACGCAAAAACCTGTACTCTTGATGATGTCTATGGACTCTTGATACGTCAAAGGAGTCTAAAAACCACCCGTGAACCCCTCCCCAACTGCGGAGAGCCGACGACGTGACTATTCTTCTTCGGATGGACTCCCACCTTCCCTGTCCCAATTCCCAGAGAAGACGTGAATTTGGAAAGATTAAGAACACAGCTGAGTTTCCATTGCTTCAGCCAAGTCCAAGCCGGATTGATTCCCCAGTTATGGCAGAGAACTCACAGATCTTCCGCTGGAAGAGTGGGAGAACCCTGAAAGATGTGTGCAGTAACAGCCGTGCCGAAGAGACGAGCAACCCTGGGAGGCTTGAGACTCTGACTGGTGCAGCAACCCCCCGCGACCCCCCCAAAGATGGGGGACCCATGATGGACCTCCTGCTGACAGAGAGCTTACGGACTTAGGATGGAAGAAAGGCAATCAGGGAAAGAGCGTGTATTAAGCACGCGCTACGCACGCGGAGCACTCCAATGTTATCTCCTTTGGGGAGTAGGTACCATCATTTTACACCTGGGGAAACTGAAGCAGATGCAGGTGAAGTGACTTGCCCAGGGACACGCAGCCAGGAAATGTCTGAAGCTGGATTTGAACTCAGGCCTTCTTGATTCCAGGCCCAGTGTTCTATGTACTACACCCCTCGGCTGCCCGGATGCCATATGACCCGGCCAGGATAGCCATACACTGGTTGTGTGACCCTGGGTGAGTCATTCAGTCTCTCAGTTTCCTCATCTGTAAAATGAGTCTCTGAGGTCCCTTCCAGCTTACATCGATCACGTTCTCCGTAGAGCCTCGGACACATCCGGACTGGGCCCCGGACAGCTCTCTGAGCCTGTAGGGTCCACACCAGCCATCTGTCTGGCCAAGTGGAGGGAGTTTCCATGCTGGGAATCCCCAACATGGCCACAGCCCCGGGTCCAGACCTAGGGGTAGGATGACATCGGCCCAACCCGGGCCCTGCACCTCCCGCTCCTGGCGCCGGTCCCGGGACCGAGCAGACACCCGGGGGCAGAAGGCGCAGGCCGGGCAGGTTTGGGGTTTTTACCTTGTATCTTTTTTTGCATCCAGGGACGGGGCAGGCAAAGGGCTTCTCGTCCCCTCCATTCATGCACATGGAGCTTAGGATGGCCTCCGAGCTGATGGCGCTCTCTGTGGTCCACGACTCATCGCTGTCGGACTCCTCATAATCCACCTCCTCCTCGTCATATTCACTGCCTGAGACACAGGAGAGAGAAGGGATAAAGAGTGAGGTCACCTCCCCAAGGGCCTGGCCTGTGACCGAGCGCCCGTCCTGGGACCCCTCCTAGTCTGTAAACCAGGGCAGGACAATGGGTACGGCTCTGGATCTGGAGTCAGAGGTGCCGAGTTCAAATTCTACCTTCGCCGCTCCTTGGCCTTGTTTTCCTTCACTGGGCCAGATTGCCCGTAAAGCCCCCTCCAACTCTAAGCTCCCATGGGAGCCCGTCATCATCCGGTTATCCGATGGCTGCCCGGACTGCTGGAAAGGCCGAGATGGCTAAAAAGCACGACCTTCCTCTGCCCCCAGCTGCCCCTCGCTGGCTGGTGTCAAAAATCCCAGTTTGAATTTTGTCTCCTTGCCTCTGAACTGGTTTTTTAAAGAATATATTGATAAAAATATTTCTTTACAATTGGTTTCCTTTGTATTCTGATATATTTCATTTGATGCATTTAAAAGCATTGTTCTGAGACTTGACCAGACTGTCAGAGGGGTCCATGGTACAAAAAATGTTAAAGATCTCTGGACCAAGGCTAAGGGCCAAAATTCCGCTTGCACTATCAGTCATTTACACTTTAGTGTGAATGTGTTTCAGACCCCTGGGTGACAGCAGGTTGTCATGAGAGACAGGGAGAAGAGCATGAAGACACAGGCAGGTGGGGGAGGGGACCGGGAAGCAGAAGCCACCAAAGTGGGGAGAACAGAGCCCGTGGGCACTGCAGAAATGTTTGCCTAGGGCTGGTCCTGTCTGCTACCCTGGGTGAACATTTCCTGTCTCCTTGACTCACAGGGAACTGGAGACACTGGTTCTCCAGAATGCTGCAGCTGGAGGGGCCTCCGAGGTCATCAAGTGCAACCCCTTTGTTTTATAGAGAAAGATCCGAGGCAAGAGAGGGGACGCAGCAAACCCCCCCCCCCCGCCCCCACCAAAACAGCTCCAAGCTAGCCCGGCCTTTTTCATCGGCTCTCCCTCAGCGATGGGCCCACCCAAAGAGAGCTCAGGTTTTCACCTCCTTGCCACCGGGCATGTGCCTCGACCTGCTCCACTGGGTACTTCTCAGAAACTCGACCTCCCCACTTGTCATTTGGCTGGAGGGAGGGGGAGAGGAAGCCCCTGCTCCACCGCCTGAAGGCTTTATGGATTTTTTTTCATTTTTAATTGGCTCCAAGTGGCTGGGTCAGGGCCGGCCTTTGCACAAGGCGACCCAACGACCATAATTCTCCAGATCATAAACAGCGTAAAATAATACGCTGACAAGCCCTAATGCATTTACAAGCCCTGTGGAATAAATAGGAATTAGAACACAACGTTAATAAGAATTATATGGTGGCGGTGATTGGCCTTGTGAAATGCTTCCCCCACGTGTGAGCCACATGGGGGTCAGACGGCGTCGGGGTCTGCCCTGGGCTCCCCCAGGCCTTCCACACCAGGCACCTGCACCGGTACTTAATATCACCGTGACCGGCATCATGAGACTGTCTGGGGAGGCAGTGCTGCCCCAAGAGCATCCCCTTCCCTCCTGCAGGCACACCAGGTGACCCTCATTATGCTGCAGGAGGGGAGGAGCTGAGGCCGGCCTTCTGATCCCTCTCCCTCGGCCTCCATTTCCTCACCAGTGAAATGACGGGATGGATCTCCCTCAGCTCTCCGGGCTTCCCCCAACCCTGGGGGATTTCAGCCACCCGTGGCCATCTGTGGCTCTTACTGTCTGGGCACGGACCCAGAATCTCAGAGCTGGAAGAGAGGCGTTGGAGGACACGGGTCCAGCCCATATCTGAACAAGAATCCTTTCTACCACAGACCTGACAAAAGGTCATCCTGGCTGGGAGAACCCACTACCCTCCAAGGTGGCTCCATCTCACTCAGGATGAGAGAGTTTGCCCCCACCATCAGCAGTGCCTGGTATGCAGTAGGAGCTTACTAAATGCTCACTGACCACATTATCCTCTGTGTGGGCCAAGCAGATTGAATCTAATACTCCCATAATAACGCTGATGCGGCTGCTGCCAGCTAGCATTTCTAGGATGCTCCGGGGTTGGGCCAGGCCGGGGATCACTCACGTGACATACAAACCCTGAACGATCTGCAGTTTTGGAAATTCTCCCTAAGTAGGGCACGTTTCGGTACATTCAACTCTAACACAAATGCCATGGGGCACTGCCCTTTCAGATGGCATTTCTCAAAGCCTCACAAGCAAGACCCTGGAAATTTGGAATCGCTAATTTACTCACCTAATTGGACTAATTTATTAACCTGAATACCAAGAGAATGAGGACACTTAAAAAAATTCAAACCAACTCCGTGTTAAATAGAGCCGTGAGAAACACGAAAACTTGACGCGCCCTTCTGGATGGCGATCTGAGGTTCCCGCCGATGCTCTGAAGGACCGTGATTCCGTCAGCCTGGGGGCCCCCCTCACGGACACTGCTCCATTCATTTAAAGCAGCATTTATTAACACACAGAAACACGGCAGTCCCTCCCCTCAGTACCAGCAACGCTTAGTGTTAGTATTTCTATAGCTCGTGAAGGTTTGACAAACATTTTATTTATGTCTATGTAGCGTGGCAGGGGGGCGCTGTGAATGCTCCCATTTCACAGAGGAGGACACTGCAGGGCCTGCTGTGGGCCCTCGGCACCCTCAAAACTCAACCTGGATCGATGCGGACGCCCGGCCGACGCGCACGTGGCAGCCACCGTCCTGGCTGCGACGATACAGCCTGAGGGCAGGGGGAGGGGAGTTCCCACCGTCCCACGCATCCACAGGGCTCGCCCAACTGCAAAGTATTCCGGGAGTGATTGCAGCGTCTCACACAAAGGTCTACAGCCACAACAGCTTCTGTGCTTTTCATCTTCGGGACGAACTACCCTGAAGCAAAAGCACTGCTTACGGGTAAATTGACGTGAGTGCACACTTCAAGAGAAAACCTCCCTGCTAGATGGATTTCCCGACAACTTCTCAGCAGAGAAATGCAAATCCTCAAATAGGTCATTTCCAACTCTTCTTTCTCTCGTCTCGTTCCTTGAAACAACCACCCTCGTATTCAGATAAATGGCTGACCTCCCGGAGTGGGTGTCCCCTCCCACAACGCAGACGTCAGTCCATCCCGCGCGGCTCTTGTCCCCCGCTGAGGTGGGGGCCTTCCTCGTGTTCTCCCCATCACATAAGGATACTGATGGACCTCGTCCCACCTTCTTGCCACGTGGCCGACCCATCTTCTCTGCAGCTGAGGCGTTTCTTTGGAGTCCTCCCCCACCCCTTATCTCTTCTGTCTCCAAACACCCTGGTCTCCTCCGCCCCTCCCCCCATTCTAAAAGAAGCTCCGCCTCCTCCTAGTCCAGGTCATAGCAGAGCTTTTGTGAAACCTGAGCTCCCTGCAGAAAACAGAGACGACGGCAGATCCATGACAGAAGCCCTTCCCTGAAGCCGACATCCACCCCTGACTTACACTCTGCAAAGGTCGGATGAGTGTAAAAGCCGACGCCCACGAAGGCAAATTAAAACGGGACCCTGGCCTGTCTGACCTGGCCAAGACGTGGCTTGTTTTCTGGCCGCTCGATGCAGCATTAAACACGAGCTTTCGCTGGTGCGGAGCCACGTTTTGTGAAGGCAGACAACACGAGGCAGAGGACATGGCGCACCTTCGCTTCCTAGAATCCTGGACGTTGGAGCTCATCCAGGCATGCGGATCACCCGGGCTACTGGGCCAGCCCAACTGGGCGTCCTCCACACAATCGCCGGAATCATCCTCTATCTGGCATCTAAAATCTGTCTCCAGTCTACCTTTGCAGATTTATTACTTACATGTTATCGTCTCTCACTTCCTCTACCTTCTAACTGAACTGTCCTTCTAGCTGGTCTTCAGGACTGACAAAAGCCCACCTCCGCACCTTTGCATCAGCTGTCCTTCCTGCCAGGAGTGCACTCCCTCTTCATTTCTGCCTCTTAGAATCTCTGTGGTTGCTCATTCATTCAGCTGTGTCTCACTTGTCCATGGGGTTTTCTGGGCAAAGATACTGGAGTGGTTCACCATTCCCTTCTCCAGCTCATTTTACAAATGAAAAAACGGAGGCAAACAGGGTAAAGTGACTTGCTCAGGGTCAGACAGCTAGTGAGTGTCTGAGGCTGGATTTGAATCAGGTGTTCCTGACTCCAGGCCCAGCACTCTACTCACTGTGTCACCGAGTTGCCCCTCAGCCTCAGTTTACTCACTTATAAAATGGAGGGTTGAAATAGTTGGTCTCTGAGGACCCTCCCAGCTTCAGATCTAAGATCCTAAGAATGGTCCTTTCACGTCACTCACAAGAATAATGAGTGAAATTTAAATGGCACCTTATGGCTTCAAGTGTGACAGCTCTTTCATGATGGCTCCAGGTCTTACAACCGCCATTTTAAACAGTCTCAAAGGGGCCGGTTGGTTGGAAGCCTCGTACGAGTATGGGATGGAGCTGGGTCTCCAGAAGGAGGCCTGTGCCCCGGATCTGGAGTCCAGCAAGCCTCGATGGTCCCTCTATAAATGAAGGCGTTGGACTGGTGACTTCGAGGTTCCTCCCAGCTCCAAGTTGCTGAGAAACCCAGGTCTTCTGACTCACGCCCGGTGCCTTTCTGACTCCATCACAGGCTTTCAGGGACACTCATTCCTCCCCTCGTGGCCCTCCTCAGGGGCCACATCCCACCCAGAGCCTTTCTTGAGCTCTCCAACCCGACCCTCCACCACGCCATCACCAGGCTCTACTCGTCGGAAGCCATCCCACGTTCACTTATAGGCACGGAGACTGTTTCTTCTTGGCCAAATGGAGTCTCCTGGAGGGCAAAGCCTCTTTTGTATTTTGTTTTTCTATTTCGAGCACCTCGTGCAGTGTCTGGCACGTAGCAGGTGCTTAATTATTTCTTGCAGAATTGAGTTGAATTTAAAAAAAAAAACAGTTTTATCACTGAGTCAGATTTTAAGAACTAAAACACCATTTCAGGAACTCCA